AGCCTTTGATTTGGCTTTCGCGTTTGCATTGGGCGCTGGGGCGCCAGGAGCAATCGGGGAAGGAGGAGGATCTGCTTTGGGCGGAGCACCTTTGGGAGGTGCAGCAGGTGGAGTAGCTTTCGGCTTACCATTCCCTCCATCTACAGCAGGAACAGCCTTCGTTTTCGGAGCGGGTGTGGCAGATTGCAGAGACTTCAACACAGACTGCGCGTTGGAGTCCTCACGGTCTTGCACGATCAGATCCTGAATCTTGTCCCATAAGTAAGACCACTCACGCCTATACGAAGCTCCCCCAGATTCCCTGATGTCCTCGATAACGCGCTCAAGCTTGCGAATGTGTTTCACTCGATGGAAGAGCCATTCACCGGTGAGGCGATCATCAGGTCGTTGCCCGACCGGAATTGCACTGAGGACGAGGCGAATACGATTCACGAAGTCTCTCAAGTCCTTTATGGAACTTCCACCAAGCTCAATCTGAAACAACGTTGATGCAGTCAGAACAGAACCTCTTACCCGGTCGAGGTCGTAATGCCTTGCGATGATGGACAACATCACTCGACCCTTGGGCGATTGGCCAAGTTGGCTACATCTTTCAATGTAAGCAGTGATATCTTGCTCAAGTTCAGAGGACTGCTTCAACACACGCCCTGACGACAGCTCACCAGCTATCCATGCATCGAGACGAGGTAGAAGCTCTGAATCTTGCAAGTCAGCTCTCTCAGCATCAAAGCCTCTAGAAATCCAAGCCAACACGAGACCTTGACCCGAAGTGTCAAGCTTGGACAACTGAACCTTGAAACCATTCTTCCAAGTTCTGAAGCTTGCCGCATCTGAAGGGACAGGTTCAAGCTTGAGATGTAAGAGAGCCCTTTGATCAACAATGTCCTTTTCCCGAAGCTCTTTGGCAGCTTCTTGATTCTCAACTTCGTCATCTTCATTGGTCTCAACAGTACCCGTAGCATTTTGACCGACCTGTTGGACTAACTGTTGGACTACCTCAATCAGCTGGTCCACGCGAGGGTCTGAAACAGGAGACGAGGGTTGAGGAGGAACAGGACATGAAGGTGCGGGCGGAGGAACAAAGGCACCCGAGTACAGCAAACGCTGAGTGGGAGGGTCGGAAGCTTCAAGGTGAGTCCATGACGCTTCGCTAGCACCAGACCCAGGACCGACGGGTGTAGCATGTGCCTTTGGTGGTTTGGGAGGAGAACTGGAGGTCGAGGCGCATGGAGCAGCCGAACGAAGCCTCTGAATTTCTCTCTCCTTAATCTGGCACTCTACTCGGACTTGATTTAGCTGAAAATTCAACATATTCAACTCCGCCTTTGCCTCTGCAAGTTGACGTTCAACATATTGACCGTACTCAAACAGTTCCCCACATCTAACCTCCGAAAGCCTAAGCTGTTCCCGAAGCTGATCAACAGCAGATCCCGCTTCAGTCAACACGTCCCTTTCTTGGCCTTGTACCTCATTGATAGAAGCCTGGTGTAGCAGCTCCGCCTGAGCGACTCGATTGGCAGCTTCACCAGCAGCAAAATGCTGAGCAGCAAGGACTTGCTGAGGCGTTGCTCCTATGTTGAGCATCTGGTTGTGAACAACAGTAGGAACACCAGAATCATCGAGAGGAACATTGACAGCTGGGTACGGAGCTGAAGCTTGCCTGGGAGTCCGGGCTAATGCCCTTCGGTTGGCAGGAGGTGAGCGTTCGCGTTCAACCAAGGCTGAACTACTCTCTGAACCACCCGAAGCACAAGAGGAATCCCTCATACCCGGAACCGCAGCTGCTGAAGCACTGGAGATATCAAGCAAGGAGCTTGGATCAGTTGGGGTTGATTGAGATTGCGGCATGATTGCAGAGCAGGGAACCAAGCACCTTTTGCTCGAAGTGCAAGGCACAACGAGTGGTGATGCAGATCTGGCCGTGGCGCCGGACAAGGCAAGGAACCCTGAAGACCCGTCTGTGGCGCAAAAGCAGCCGATCAGACGACCCTGAACTCAGATTAACACTACCGTGACCCGATCCACAGAGCAGCGGCGCTAGGAGCAGCCAATCTAACTCTGGGATTAAAAGGCACACAGACTCTCAACTACGCGATCTGGTCGTAGTCAAAGGAGTCGGGGTAGTTCCGAATGACCCAGTTGCGGATGTGATCGTAGGTATCCGCGACAAAATCAAACGAAGCACACGGTGCGACAGGCGGGGACGGCCTCCTGTGAGGGCGCTTCCACAAGGAACGGATAAACACTCCCTCAATCTTCTCCAGACCAGATAGCGGATCAATAATCTCTGGGCTGTCGTCACAATGAAGAATGGGAAGCCTCCACTTGGCCGGAAGATTGGGAGGAGGTGCTCCTATGCGTTCCAGAATATCGCCCTTGCCACCGCGACGAGTCGGATGTCGAGTTAGCACGATGAAAGCGACGCAATTGGAACCCAATTCCCCGCTGAGGCTCTCGACAGTGTTCGCGACCGTCCTGATCACGTGACGCTTAGTGTCAGCTGCGTGGCAGTAGCTCGTCACGATACACAAGCCGTTGGTCTGTGAAAGAAATCTCGTCAAACGGCTCAAATACCTTTGGACTTCCTCCGGGCAGGTAGGATATCCTTGCTTCCAGGCCACGTGTTGCCCTCTGCGATCGAGATCGAGAACGTTATGAAAATCCAGACTCACCACGTAATGGTAACGTGCCACGGACTGGCGGGTGAGGCCCACCAAGCGACAAGTATCCGGATCCACAATCTCAACCTCGGTTCCCTTGAAATCAATACGAATAGTCGGATCAATCTCAGGAAGATACTCCTCTTCTGCCTCGATTGGCCTCTTCGCCGGTGGGTCCTTAGGCAACGATGAAGATGAAGAAGATGGTGCTGAAGATTCCGCTGCCTTGGGAACCTGAGGCCTGGCCTTCTTCTTGACTTCCGGGGCCTTCGGAGGAGCTTTTGGAGGGGTAACAGGCACTGCAACTGGACTTGGATCTTTGGGCGGAGTTTTAGGACCTGGAATATCCAATCGTCTCGCCGAAGGCCTTGGTGGCGGAGGCGGTGCCGCCTTCCCAGAAGCCAAGCGGTAAAAACTCGGGATCTCTCCAGTCGCCTGAGGAATCAACGGCTGATTGCTCACTGGCCCAGATAACTTTGCCCTCACTTTCGGAGTTGGAGCCAAACGTAACCCTTCTGAAGAAGACGACGGCGGTGGAGTAATAGGAGTTGCTGTAGGTTCCGAAGTTTCTTCTGGCGGAGGTGTCTCTGGAACTGTATCCTCCGGAAACGGGTTACTCACCGGCTCTTGAACCCCGTAAGCTCGGGTCGATCTGTCCGGCCTGCGAAACGGAATATCCAAGTAGGTAAGATAAAGGCCGGGATTGCTGGACTCCGACTCAGCGAACACAAAGCGCTGCCACGCTTCTCGCTTTCTGCGAGCGCTCTTACCCGCACGTGAGCCTCTCTTCTGCTCCTTAGGCGGCGGGCGAGGCAAACGTTCCGGATCCCTGTCAGGGTTCACGTCCATTGCCGAGCGTACAGAATCACTACTTTACGATCCAAAGCACTACGGCTGATAACCAGTTATTCTGACCCCAAACAGAGACAACGCTATGTTAGGGTAAGAAAGGAGAGGAAGGGGAAGGAAACCACAAGAGAGGAACCCTGCCCCGAACGTAAAGGCACAGCTCAACGGCGCCTTTTTCATCTTGAGCCAAATTCATTGGCGTGCTTCAAGCTTCAGAAGTTACATAGTCAGGCAACATAACTTTACATGGAGGTTGTTCGTAAATCTTCAACTGAGAATTTAGGGTTTAGGGTAATTTTTCCGGTTCACAAAATGCTGCTCCCCAACTGGTAGCAGCTAGATATACTGCACAGACACAGAAAGCTTTTCCCTGCACGCCCTGTCAGGCAAAACCTGTCCGGGCCTCTTCCGTGCATGCAGGTGCAACTACTCTGAAGCCGTTTAACAGCTATGCACTATGACCTGGTAACCTAGTACAGCCAGTGCAAAACATATGATATAAGATCATGCCAATGCAGCAACTCATAGCCGAAGAGCAAAGCACCACAGAACTCAAGGCAGCTTGACATAACCCAGCATTGGGGAGCGTGATCTGCCGTTGCATCCCCCTACCCTGCAACCGTCATCGGCTTGGGCAGGTACCACAACACAAGAAGGAAGAATTAGCTTTTGCAAAATATCACAAATTAACATATGTCCGAGCTTGACGAAGGATGTTATAGGTTTGGCCGAAAGTTCAGAGCGGAACTTCTAAAAGCTGGTGCCATGTTGTACCACACTACCATCAAACTGAGTTGTACCAGTTGCTTAACTGAAACTGTGTCATAGACACAAAAACCAACAATGCACGCTATACAAAGGGTCTCAACCCCGCCCGTACTCGCGATTTGGGGGTCAGCTCCCGTCATCTGGAAAAGTCTTTGTATGTGTTCTTCTCGCGTCCTTGGGTCAAGTCTCCCTGGGGCTTCGTCCTTCCAAGCAGCCAGATGCCGAAGAGGTGGCATCCGAGAGCGCGCAGGCAATGGCAACCCCATCCAACTCCCGGTCCAACCTGGGGCCCGAAGGACAGGGTTTAGGGTTCATGGCTGGTTTTTAGCGACCATATCCGTGTTCACATCTGTTTATTACTGATTACTGGTCCAGTGACCTGCTGAGTTGAAGCTCGCATCGGCTTCGGTGTCTAAAGTACCACAGGATGGGAAGGCTATCGAATCGCTACTTACAGCTCGACCTGCAGACCTGTCAGTTGCTTGCAAGAGGCAGAAGAGACTCTGGAGCTGTAGCAACAACTGGCTGACGGTGGTGCATGTTGGCAGGTCAAGATATCATGACTTTCGCATGATACCGAGCATGTCTGAGGGCCCGCGCACAGGCTGCCCGCTCCGCCTGTCCCACGCCATGAGCCTCACGTTAAGAGCATCAGGGGAACCGAATCTTTCCTGAATCTTCGTGGCGACACGAAATCGGAAAAAGCGTGCTCTCATGCGTACTTCAAAGATGCAGACAAGACAAAATCCAAAAAAATCCCGGGAGCTGCTGGTCGGAAGCGCCCAGAACGAGGGGCCCAGAGCAGGCGGCGCAAGCCACCGGCTGCTGTAGGTCGTCAAAGATCGTCTCGCTCTTCAGGCTGGCCTGAAGTGGTCGCGTAGTCTAGGGGTCTTAATATTTAGAGTAGGGCTCCCTTTAAAGATCCTCTAAAGGGATCCTTAAAGGGGTCTAGAAGGTATGGACGGTAAAGTTCTAGAATATAGGGGCCTTAATAACTAGAACAGGGTTTTGCGGACCATAAAACTATAATTATAATAAGGAATCCCCAGAAGGGTGTAGGCAATCTTTATGGCCCCTATAGTACAGTCGTCCAAAAAGACGATGTCTAGGCCCTTCTGAATTCAAAACTGACTCGTTGCCAGGAAAGGCAAGCGACCGATGTCAGCGTCCAAGTCACAATCGACTGGTCTCTCGAGCCCGACACGAGCATCGTGCGACATGGGCTCGCACTCAGGCAAGTGACAGTGTCAGCGTGCATTTGGCTGCGTGACAAGGAGGAGCCACAAGAGGTGGAGTATAGAACGACTGCATTGTCGTGACCTCCCAAGGCCAGTAATTCCGTGTCGAGCGCCGCAACAGCAGACAGTGGCATCGGTGAGATTCGGAAGTTGCGACGAGAGGACACCTGTGCCGACGCAGCGCTTAAGCCGGTCGGCAACGGGCTCACACGTAAGCACCCATCTTCTCCAACGGCGTAAAGGTTCGTGGAGCAACTGGCCATGCCCGTAATGCCTCCACTCAACGCGAAAGGAGCCACCACCTGCGCGTTCAAAGATCGCAGGCTCGAGAGGCTTCCTGCACGCGACCGCCACAACTCTCCGCCTTGGAACGGCGCAGCCTGCGGCCCAGGCAGTTGCGCTTGTGGCGCTTGCCTCTCCGGCGGACTCGTCTTGGCTCCGTTGACAGCCGGTGCCATGTAGCCCTGGCCCTCAGCTCCGAAGTCTGTCCTCTCCAAGGTGCCCTCAAGGCTCTCACGCGCGATGCTGCGCACGGCCTTGTACCAGGGCTCCGACTGCCCAGGCTCCTCCTGGAGCTTGCTCAGGGGCCACTTTGGGGTCCTCAGCCTGGGTGGGTGGGCCTCGAAAAAAAGCTGGCGTGGCATTCGCCCGAATTCCTGCAGCTGGGTCTCCAAGACTTCCATTGGCAGTGACAGCGCATTCAGAGCTTCTTCAGGCGAGCCCTTGGAGCCCACGTAGCACACAGGGTGGAAAAGGTTATCCGCCTTCACCGCTGCATCCCCGGATTGCTTGAAGCCGAAGATCAGATCTATCCAGGAAGGCAGGTGTTGCGAAACGTGCTCACTCTCAAGAGCCGCACGCATCTTGCTGATGAAGTCGCTAACGTTGGATGCCCAGCGCGGTAGAGCCACATCGCCCAAGGGGAACTCCGGTGTGACGATGCTCAAAGAGTTCTCCAACCTCAGTGCATCCGAGGATCTGGCATGAAGTTAGGGTTTAGGCCGGGTTTAGGGTTTAGGGTTTAGGGGCCCTCCCACCAGACCAAGATGGAGCACAGCTGCAATGAATCCTAGACAGAGTACGTCCCATATGATACAGTTGAGCAGCTCCTTATTACAGTCACTGGCCAGAAGCTTCAGCCTTACCAAAACAAGTTGTGATACTTGGAACGCTCCGATGGGTGCTCCGCTTGTAGGTTACAAGCATGCTCAAAAGCAACCGCTAATGCAAAGTTTGGCGACCTGCTCTTCCGTGATATGCCGTCGGATTTGCTTAACATGGCTAGACATCATTCACTGTTTGGTGGAAGTACCATCACCGCGCGGTCGTCGAAGTGTCCGCATGAATCTTGTCATTAATGTCACCGAAACCAGCAGCCTCCCTTTGTCCCATGTCGCTCTTACAGTTAAACCTGCAGCAATGCCCTCTGGACTACTGTCGCAATCGTCCCTGTCATGATCGGACGGACTATGCAATGATGACTGTCAGTCATGGCACGATATAATTCATGCATTATCGCCATGATAATTTTCGTCGTAATCACCAGCGGCATCAGCATCATCATCATCATGATCAACCATGCCAGTGCAAGTCCCAACCACTAAGAGAACCGGGGCAGTCCACGGCCTACATATCCAAACTCACTTCAGGAGAACCCATGATGCTCCGAAGACGACCACTTGAGTCCGAAACGCGCACCACTGTGGCAGGAGCACGATCGACACCCCGGAACACGTACCGCAATGTGGCTCGAACACGAGTCCCCCCCCCCCCCAACATGTGCCGTACGCCGGGGGGCACGATTGTTGAAACACGAGCTGCAGCCAAAATGTGCACGATGCTGTGGTGGGAGCACGATTCATGAAGTTCGGAAGCGCCACAATTTTACGTTGGCTTCTGCCTGCCTGGAAGACAGGGCCACATCATCGCAACAAATCCCATTTCCTTTCGCAAGAACTCAGAGTCCTGCTGCACTTTTTGAAGAATAAGAGGAAGGACAGAAACTCTGCTTGTTATCAATACTCCCAAGATTGTCGACATTATCAGGATTCTCGACAATTCCCTCCCTCTCTGTGCTCTGCGCTTCTACCGCATCTGACATTGGTATGTCAATGCTTTTTTGCACCGACACGATGTCCAAATACAATCAGTTGTGTCACAGGAGGAATAGTTCGTCAATGCATGTGCAGTATAGAATGCTGTGACTTTGGAAACTTCTCTTCCGCAGTAGTGATACTCTTGACACTGTACAGCTGCTAATGCTGCTGCTTGCTGCCAATGCTGCCAATGCTGCCAATGCAACTGCTGCAAAAAGATCTAATGATGCTGCCAATACCGCTTCTGTACTGATGCTGCGCATGCCGCTGACCCTAGTAATGCTGCTGGTGCTTCTGCTACGACAATGACGACGACCGAGAGGACGACGACTACTGCTAGTACTATGACGCACATGACGACTGCGACGATGACGACGACGACGACGGAGAGGACGACGACTAGGCCTGGGACTGCTGAGCTGCTGCTTCTGCTGCTTCGGCTGCTTCTGCTGCTTCTGCTGCTGCCTCACCACCGCTGCGATCGACGCGGACAGTCGCAACTATTGTCTACTCTTCGATAATGTTCGGTAGTTCTCAAGCTCAGATGTTTTGGAAAATGAAAGAAAGCAGATATTCGAAAAATCTACTCAGTCTCGTTAGTTATGACTTGGTAGCTGTTGTGGAATTTACTGCCTTGTGTATGTGTGTGTGTATAACAGATATACATAGTATATATATATATATATAATACCTATGTATATGTACAGACGACTGGATGTTTGCATACCTCTAAGCATCAGAGATGCTGCTTGAATTCAATGCGCATGCCCAAGTTTGTGGAGCGTCTGCCTGGGAGCCCGGCCATTCTGCCGGGAGGACGAAGAACTCCGGAATCAATTCCATCAACGAAGCAGTGCTTTCCTTGCAGATGATTGCAACTCAAGCAGGTGGCACTACATCGTGAAGCTGTCCCTGTCACCAGCTATGTGAGATTTCGGGGACTCTTGATTCTGAATCGCAGTCGTAGCCGTCGTCGTCGCAGTTGTACTAGCAGTCGCAGCAGCAGTCGCTTCAGCACCAGCAGCAGCAGGAGTAGTAAAAAAAGTAGTAGTCGTCGTCGTTGTCGTTGTCGTCGTAGTAGTCGTCGTAGTACTAGGAGTAGGAGTCGGAGTACGAGTACGAGTCGGAAGCGGACTGGGAGTGGAGTGGCCGTATCCGCAGCCGTAGCCGCAGAAGTAGTAGTGGTAGTAGTAGTAATAGTGGTAGTGGTAATGGTAGTGGTAGTGGTAGTGGTAGTACGTATATGTACGTTTATGTACGTAGTAGAAGTAGCCGTAGTGGTAGTAGTCGTCCTCGTAGGAGCAGCAGCAGAGGTGGTGGTGGTGGTGCTGCTGCTGATGGCGATAGTGTCTGCTAGCACCAAAAGAGCCCACACAACAACCACGACGATGATACCCAACATCATCACCCACTGCAACTGCAATACCAACAAAAAAGTAACGTTCTCAGCCCCCGGCGTTTACGGATTGCCACGACTCCGGCACAGATCGGAATAGCCGCGCCCAAGCCTCACGGAGAGCTTTGATCAAGGATTTCGGGATGCTAATGCTACCGTGAGAAGCTTCAGATGATGTTCCAGCAAGGCCAATGTGGCAAAACGACTGAAGTTGGGAGAGGCAGTTGAAAATGCAAAGTTCAGGGTTCAGCTTAGAGACCCCGGTTGCTCCGACATAATTTAATGCGCAACTCTTACAAACGACTGGCTCGAGGCAAGAATGATTGCTACGGATGCAAGATCACCACATTGATCGCAACAGGCACACATCTACAAGGGGGGGTCGTCTGCCCACATACTCAACCAGGGAGCATCGAAGTGCCCGTTGTGCAACCGCAGCATTCCTCGGGATCGTTTGTCAGCTCTAACGATCTATAGAACATGACATACCAATATGCAGCCGGACTCACTCATCAGTGAGGCAGATTATTGAGAAGGCACTACACAAAGATCTATTTAGAGATCCTCACCATCCCTCACATGACATGTGAAATGGTCAGCATAACTCTCACTCACCTGCTACCACGGGTCTCTCCGGCATAGCTCGCAGCAGCCAGTAAATCACATATGCAGGGGTGGAGTAATGCGTCCCATAGAGGAACTTGTCCTGGCAGAGGCACTGCCACGGGCACACAATGTAAACAGATTGAGGGCACAAAGCCGGTGACACAGATTCTGCGGGCACTGCAGGGCTTTTCTGAGACAAGATTTGTACATCGAGAACGAATCTCTGACAGTGAAACATGAAGCAAGGTACCGGAACTTGTTTCCAACTTACGGTTAGACACTGCGAGTGTCGTGACTGGTCCGATCCAGACCCTGCCTCCCCGTCCATGCCGGCCATCCGCTCGCGGAAGTAGCTCAAGCGCTTCCTAGGCTTCATAGCAAGCTGAGGCCATGGACACGCTGCATCGAAACCCATGTCCAGTTTCTCAGGGACAGGTAGGTCTTGAATAATTTCAATAGGGTTTGGTCCCTTCAAATCTTGCTAATGTCCGCTAGTCCAACTTCTGAATCTCAAGTGCCCTGCCCCAAGAAACTTTTCAGTATTCATTCCTGACCTGATGTGAGACTTCTCAATACCTCATTCATGTGCATATACTTATGTTTATTTGTCTTATATATATATATGTATATGTATATACAGCCTGAATTCTGTAGCCTTCTTGCGATAGGTCTCCGTGTGACAAAGTATGTTGCTCGAGAACGTTACCGAAAGGGACTGGAAATGCACCTTGGCTATGCACCCAAGCGAACCAAGCCCTGGTCAATACAGGGTGCAAAGAGAACCAAGCCCCGTGGGGGCCCCTTCTAAGGGATTCTTTTTAGGGTTACGTTTGGGGTTTCCTTTAAGGGGTCAATGCGGGGTGCTAAGTCGCAGATGCATGTTTATGCAAGCACTTAAACAGCAAGTGGATGCGTGGTTGCATGATCATATTACCCAGTTGGTCAGTCAGCTAGTCGAAAATCAGCGTGTTGTAAATGTGCCACCATACAAGATAGCAGTCAAAGTCTGTCGCACTGCCAAGTACACAGTTGTAATCGAAGCTACCATCTCACCTGCTTGAGACATACGTAACATATTATGCATCGACCGATGCATATACCTCTACCTATACCTTCACCTATATACACATACACATATACAGCATACATGTATGTGTATATATATATATACACACACATGTCCACATACGCATCATCACACACGTACGCACGTACATACACCGGCGTATGCTCATATACATCTACATGCATATGTCGGAGTTGAACTGCTGGCACGGATTCATATCTAATGTTGCTCTGCACAAGCAGACGATCCTGTACTAAGCTCGCAGGAAACAACATAACAAAAATTGAAACTCAATAGCCCTGGTCCGAGTATCTCGGACAACGCTCCCACCGGCTTCGTCAAGTCGCGGTAGGAGCGCACGTCCTTCCAGTCCACAGCTCCGCACACTCGAGACTTCCGGCACTGGGTTCAGTTAGGGTTTGGGGTCTCGGGGCCGATAGAAATCGTATGTAGGTTTGGAAGCTTCGGCATCTTCGGAATTGCGGAACAAAACGGGGATTCAGTGGATTGAAGTGTTCGGGCGGCGGGCGACCCATGTCACAGACGCCGTCGAAGTAGAGAGAATCGGCGCTGCCAACCCGCTGCTTTTTGCAAGGGCCCGTTCGTGCGCTGCTTCGAGCGCAGTTAGGCGCCGTCAAAGAGCTTGGGGTTGAGGGTATGGGGACAATTGTTTTGCAGAATCCCTTCAACCGACAGTAGCTCCGCCCCCAACTACAGCCGTGAACAGGGATTCGATTGTACAGTGTACAGGGTGGGGTGGGGGCCAACAAAGCAGGCAAGTTGAGCGAAGCCAATGCTAGCGCCGTCCATCACTCCTCCGTTTGGCATGATAGCGAGTTCAAGACGCCTGTCATCCCGGTGAAAAGCCTTCACAAGCCCAGCCACTGACACCCCCGAAACTCATCTTTTGGTAAGCCCTGCCATGAGTTTCCGGAACCCTCTGAGCTCTGCTCCTCCAGATTCAGCTGTGGACTGCTGTAGTCGGCAAGCACCCAGGGAAAGACGGGATACTGGGAGAAGTCGTTCCTGGCCCAACCGAACCCTCTTAGAGCAACCGCAGGCGACACTCTTATGACCTGCATGCTTCAAGGGATCGGTACCCTCTTCCTCTGTTCATGTCGGGCGGATTTTCATGAGTTACAACAAAACCTTCCAACGGGGTTGATGGTATGAAGACTGCTACTCCGCGGCCCGTTTCATATCGCACCGCTGCTAGGAGTTCGGGAGTCGGGACCCCAACCCGAAACTCCGACCTGGACCGCCCCGCCGCGCAGTTCAGGAAGTCTAGGTAGTGGAAGTTTGAGAGCAATCCACTCTGCCAGAGGGCGGTCCTGGGGAACAAGGTGCGGGCTGCGTGTTGTTGGCATCTGTGGGGAGGCAGGCTATGAGCAGGAGCATCGATTGGCTGCTACTACTTGCAGTCAAGGAACATCTTGCGAACGTTCTGCAGGATGTTCTCTGCATCGGTCAGCGTAGACCTGCTCCACACGCACAGGCATAGTATGGATTTGGTACGACATCCTTCAGAGTTCCAATGTCCGCGACAGAAGAAACGCTTCGTGTCTTGTCTACAATACCTGCATTCATCCAAATTTGATGCACTTACTGCCGAAATCACACAGCGACCACATGCTTGAAGGCCTCAGCAGCTGTGCAGAGGGGCTTGTGCCTTGGGAAGCAAGCACGCGCCGCTGCTCCTGGCAAAACATCGTCTCATTCAAGGAGACCGGATCGAACACACCTTCTGATTTGCAAATCCCTGCTCCTGATAACCGCGTATGATCTTACGTGTGTCTGTGAGATGAATATGTTCTCAGACAGCTGCTCCCAGAATCCCCAGGCAACAACCGTTGAACCGCTCCTCCAGCAGCGAGGACACCTGCTCACACTCACCTCGAGCCTGCAACGACGGACTCATGAGCGTCAGGCACAGGTGCCGGGCTTCTGCATCGGGCGCGAGGCTCAGGCTTCTTTGTTTTCATCTGCAGGGTGCCGGCTGTTGCGCTTTGGGCTTTAGGTTGAAGCTGCTGTGCAGTCTGCGAACCTCGAAGCACAAATACAGGCAGCCACCATGCACGGTGATGATCTCGAGGGCGTTGGCCTCCGAGCACCAAGCCAAAATCCTACACCTCACGATCACGATCTGGGATATAGATATACAAGAAAGCAGACTGCTTGAAAATGATTCGTAACAGCAGCACAAGTGCAGGTGGAGGGTCGTCTTAGAGCGCGCCTGCACACCATATACGCGGCGAAACACGTGGAGCACGTCGCTCAGCAGCACCTGATTGGGCGCTCGATCTAGGGCTCAAGGGTGTGTAAAAGTCTCAGAGTAAAGTCGCCCGAACATGCTCTTACAGCATGTGGCACATGTCGATACTTGTACCAATAGGAGTAACAAGGGTTTGCTATGTTTGTGACTGCGGCAGACAATGTACAACTACTAGTAGCCCTCAGATGGTTGCCATTGCGAACATCAGTTTCACCGTCATACCCGATGCTTACAATCCGAAGTTTCAGGAAGACCTTCGCCTCCCGTTAGTGTTACAGATGCTGTGGGTGGTAGGCATCAAGCATCTCGTCTATGGAGGTGCGAGAGACTACGTCTGCTCAGGCTGTACCGCGGCCGCGTCATTCCCGCACAAGACAACGAAGGGCAACACGAGCTACGTAGTATAGGGGTCTTAATAATTAGGATAGGGTTTCGGGCCCCATTAAACCATTATGATAATAAGGAACCCCTAAAGTAATATTGGTAGTTATTAAGGCCCCATATAGTAGTTTCTGATACTTGCCGTCGGCCTGGTGTACGACAACAGGAAAGACTCGAGCTCGAGGCATGGAGCCGTTCAATGCAGGAGAACAAGATGTCAACCATGGTACACAGAGCAAGATAAACTGTCTCGTTCTTAGTAGGGAATGGATTTTGGAGACGGGATCAATTCCGCATTCCCTACTGAGAACCGGACAGAAGATGTCAACTATGGTACACAGAGCAAGATGAAGGCAAGCCGCAGGTCATGGTGCGACCCGGACCCTGAAGGCCTGTTGGCCCTTCGGATTTCCAGGCTCCCCATCAAACCCCGACACCCAAAACCCAAATCCTAAACCCCTGAAATCAAAACCCCAAACCCTAAAGCCCAGAAGGCCCGAAAGCGAGGACTGGCCTGCTTCACCGGCTCCGAGGAGAAGTTCGGGTGCGGCTGAAAGTAGATACCCTCCGTGGAGAGCTGGAGCAGGCCCCTGACAGCATTTGAAGAATTGTCGCTTTTTGTTATAGGTACGATTACTAATATGTTAGTAGTAGTAGTAGTAGTAGTAGTAGTAGTAGTAGTAGTAGTAGTAGTAGTAGTAGTAGTAGTAGTAGCAGTAGCAGTAGTAGTAGCAGTAGCAGTAGTAGTCGTAGTCGTAGTCGTAGTCGTAGTCGTAGTCGTAGTCGTAGTCGTAGTCGTAGGCGTTAGTCGTTAGTCGTAGTCGTAGTCGTAGTCGTAGTCGTAGTAGTAGTCGTCGTCGTAGTAGTAGTAGGCCCGTGACAGGGAGAGGCAAAAGTGGTTCCCATAAAGGGTCCTAAAAAATAAGGGGTCGCGTCCGAACAAGAGCCACTGAGAGGAAGCACTGCTTAACCGGCTCCGTTTAAGGGCTCAGCTAAAGCTTCAGGATTTTGGTTTTGTCTTGTTTTTGCTGGTGCCTTTCCCGAAGCCAGGCGGTCAGGAGTCAGGATTTAGGGTTTCGGGTAAAGCGTCTGATCGGCCTTCTAATATAAAGGGTCCTGCAGCAAGTTTCCTGATGAAGGTTCCAAGAAGAGCTTCAAATCTAACGAGGTTTGGTGGTTTTAGGGTCGGCTGCGTCTTTTCATGGCTTGCGGCTTGCGAGGTATTCGTACGAAATATTGGTACCGCCAAGAAGTGTAAACGGAAACCCAAGACATGAGGCTCCTGGCCTCACCTCCAGCAAAGGCTCCACCTGCCGTAAGGAGGTGGCGTTCGAATGCTTTTCCTTATGAGCCTTCCGTGAGAAAAGAGGGCTTGAGGTCTAGGGTTTTAGCGCCTAGGGAGAAAAACACGACCCCCTTTCCCCCGTAACAGGGACTTGTCGCCTAATATTCTCACTCGAAACACTAAACCCTAAATCCTCATTGGGTATCAGTTTCCGCATGGCCCACACCTGCCGCACCCACAGGCCACCGGGAAGCAACGCTGTCTCCTGAAAAGCCAGCAATACATTGCTACAGTCGTACACAGAACTGTTTACTTGGTTTTGTCATGTGTAGTACCCTTTGTAGTAGAGACATGTAAATATACAGAAATATCTCATTTACTTTTCTTGTGCGCATGTACGTACTTGATGTAAGTTTTAGGTTGAACGTCCGGGTTCTTCGAAACGGGCACAACACTGCAACCTTTAACAAGCGTGAGCAAGGTCTGACAGTCCTTCGCATGTCTTTGCGAGGCTTGCCTACAAAGCTGTCAATCACAATACCAACACTACGAAAAGTTTCTGGCTTGGATCGAAAATCCAGAATGCAGAGCAGATCGACCGTTTGAGCTCTGTGTGCTGTGTGCCCATGGTTGGTTAAAGGTCGTATTCCTTGTGGGAACCCGATGAAGTACCGTCATATAGGGGCCTTGATGACTAGAATAGGGTTTGGGAGCCCAATATACGATAATTCTAACAAGGAGCCCTCAACATAGAATTGGTAATTATTAAGGCCCCTACATTCTAGAATCCTGTTATAGATCTCTTATCGTAACCCTTATAGAACCCTTTAAGGGAACCCCTATTCTAACTATTCACGCCCCTACATTCTAGAACCCTACTGTAGATCCCTTATAGTACCCCTTATAGAACCCTTTAACAGAACCCCTATTCTAGCTACAAAAGCCCCCACATTCCAGAATCCTACTAGCCCCTATTCTAATTATTAAGGCCCCTACATTCTAGAACCCTGCTATAGATCCCTTATAGTAACCCTTATAGGAACCCTTTAAAGGAACCCTGTTCTAATTATTCACGCCCCCCTACAGTACCCCCCCCCCAAAAAAAAAAAAATATATATATATATATATATATAGTATTGGTAATTATGTAGGCCCCTATATTACTCCCCCGTAATACCCCTTATAGGAACCCTAACAGGACCCTTTTTAAGGATCACTATTCTATTTATTTAGGCCCCTACTCCCCCATAATGCCCCTTATATAGTAACCCGAATAGGACCCTTTTTAAGGATCCTTAAGGATGCCTTAGGATCCCGTTAAAGTAGCCTCATAGTAACCCTACCAAAACCCTTTTTAAGGACCCCTTGAAAGAACCCCTAATAAGACCCTTTTTCAGGATGCCTTGAAAGGATCCCTTTAAAGGAACCCCTAATAAGACCCTTTTTAAGGATCCCTTGAAAAGGATCCCTTTAAAGTGCCCAACTTCTCAACAGTTCGGCTCCCGGTGGCCCAGGCGGCTCAAGTCAAACTGGACGTCAGCTGTGACCTTAGGGTTTAGGGTTTGGGGTTTGGGCTTGGGGTTTAGGGTTTAGGGTTTGGGGTTAGCTCTTGCCGAATGAAGATTTCGGAAGCCTCGCCCACAACTCCAGGCTCGTGTCAAATGATCCAAACCGCAAGCTGCTTCGAAGTGCTGAAAGAATCGAGCGCGAGAACTCTAACCTGCCAGAAGACATCCCCCAACCCTGCGATCCCGGACAGGAGACCTCAGCAAGGATGCGCCGCACCTCCGGGAGCTGTCAAACTCAAGCACAAGTCTTATAAAACCCATTTCCACACTCGATGCTTAGGCCTTTGAGGGGGTTCTAGTACCCTTAAGGGTAGACATAGTAGGTACATAGTAAGGATCCCAGGGTTTAAGGGCTGCACCGAAACATAGCCAGCAGCCCTCGGCCCTCAAGACCCCGCTTGCAAAACTCTGCGCTGCCTGAGGCGCCACATGGGGAAGGTCCTAGGACTCTAAGCACCCAGGACCTCAAAGAAGGGCAGCTACCTTGGGGCTTCGAGTTTTCGTAGTTTTCGAAATCCTGAACCCTAAACCCTAAAACCCTAAATCCTAAACCCTGAACCCTGGGTTTAGGCCCGGCCTCCGTGTGGAAGGCGCCGGAAGACGCCGCACCCCGGAGGCGCTCCACGAGCCTCCAAAGACTCTGTGCCGCCTTTAAGGATTCTACACTAGGTGTCGAGTTCAACAGTGGCCAAGATTATCTCTAATTAGGTCTTATATATATATATGTATATATAATATATATCTTATATTCATATATGCTGCCCCCCACGCCTCAAGGATCTACCGTCTTCCTGTGTTTGGTAGGAAATTAGACAATAAAAGAGATGAATAATCATCCCAAAATCGATACCTAGTATAGGGGCTTCTATAAGGCTTCCGTAAGGCTCCTTTAAGAATTCTACCAGGGTTCTATAGGGTACTCTAGGCTGAAGGGGAGCCGAAACGACTCTTCTGAATCTTCCCTGATACTTACATTGCGGCGGAATGCCGAACAAGAAAGAGGAAGATTCGCGAAAGTAATATCTGCATACAATACTCATACTAGCGGACACTTCGAGGGATCTTGGACTCTCTTTGTACCTTACTTGCAACTCGGACGATGCAGCCCAAAGGGCTGGCGATAGTCCGACGCACGGGCGTAGTGCACCTGGAAGCTCGGCGAGAACTTGCCTCAAGGCGAGGATGTCCCTAAACCCTAAACCCCAAACCTTAAACCCTAAACCCCAAACCGGTTTCAAGCTTGGGAGCTCGAGGCTTTGGGCTTATTTCGATTCTGCTGGTTCATGACATAACCCAGGGCCTGGGGGATATGACTTAGGGACTAGTCGCTACTTTCAATTGGCTGGGGCGATGTGAGCCCCCGTCACGTCACGGAGCTTCTGCAGGATGCCTTCTACGCCGTTCAATATTTTGTGCCTTCTCGCACATTCGAGCAGCTTGTGTATGGATCACCGCGGAGGAGGTGTTGCTCAGTGCGCGGATGGTTGGGCTTCATGCAGCACAATTTCAATAGAACATTGGGCACGAACAGCCTGCACCCCTTGCCAGTGCATTAAAGGGGCTCTTCAGAATGGTGAAAGGCGTCACGATCCGTGTCTCTGCTCCTCCCGTCTTCGTCGCAACCTGTTGGATAGGCCGGAGGGAGTAAGCCTTTTCGCTTCGAGTAGCATGGCAAGCCGGGTCTGTCGCTGTCGAAACGACCTCTTACGGTGTGTGTATGTTCCCAGGATTCGGCTCTTACCAAGGCGGCCTGAATGAACTGATCGCACTCGATATTGAAGCAGCTGCCATCGGCGGGATTCTCGATGCTTCGCACGTATCCTTCGCAAGCATGCATAAGCACATCCAAGTCTTGCTGTGTAACAGTCAGGACTTGCGAAGGAAGCAACAATATCCAACACCGAATCCTGAAGCAGAAGACTCTCAAGCATTCTGCTGCGCAGCTGCGATAAGGAAACTTCAGGATGGAAGCTCCAACATCATCAGGCTGGAAAATCAAAGACCTGAGAGGCAATGCAACTCCAAGATTTTGCGAGGATCTCTGAAAAGCTTCTTCGCACCAACACACAAATAATAGAGCACGACTTAGCCACGAAGCTGTCCCAAACCGCTAATCGCTGAAATCCCAAAGCCAAGAAATCCAAGAAGCCCGAACTCCGTGTCACTTCCAAGTGGCTTAGAGCAGATCCGAAGGCGCCCTTTGCTCTCCGCAACCTTCCGTCCACGATGCATGTTGTCCCCCTTCTTCACGGAAGCTCAAACACTCTTAGGATTCCCGCGCGTGAACCAGCGATAGAAGCCCGAGACACCAAGAGCGGGTTGGTCGCCGCTTGAGGCTGCAAAGAGTTGAAGAGTGCTCGGAGGTCAGCACGAAGCTTCAGCCGAGGCACAGGCACCAGATTTTGAACATCTTGTTGTACAGTTATGATTATGCTTAAAGCTATGATGATCATCATCCTTTCTGCTACTTTCTTCCTGCGTCTCCCCTGCATGAGCTTGGAGGCCAGACCTGGCCTGGCCGCGGCGAGTCAGAGCCATGGTCGAAGATACATCGGCGATGTAGTCCTCGCCTGTTCCGCAGGAGGTTCAGGGTTTAAGGTTTACTATAGGGGCCTTAGTAATTAGAACACCATAATTGTTAAGGCCCCCATTTTCGCATTCCCTCTGGACCGAGGCTGCAAGGGCCTGTTTTGACAAAGCCCTGATCTAATGCCTTGGATGCTAGGCTCCAGCACTCCAACCTCTACTCTACTGGGACCCTCTGCCAGGAACTGCGACGAGGATTCGAACGGTTTGAGGGTTTAGGGTTTAGGGAGGCAGAGCTGGCCTTCTTCCATGATCAGCAAGTTGAACCGTCTTTCCACCTCAGAACACCGGGGCAGGCGTGATAGGGATGTCGAGATATACACCTACATAGCGTGCCGGATCCGGATCGAACAGTCTCTCAGCCAAGCCACGCGGAATGACATTTCGGAAAACCAGCGCGTGCCCACCGAAGCGAAGCAAGAGGGGCGCGCAGCAGGCTTCCTACTGCCCTTTTCCGTAGGTTGTCTGTAGCTTGCAGACTTCGTGCAGCTGCTTCGATCTTTTGAGGGCCGGAAGCTTGAGGGTTTTTGGGCCGCGGGCTCGGTAGGGCTGTGGAGCCCAGGAGCTGTGTGCTACGGTGCAGATGGAACCGCCGAGCCCGCCTCGGTTCTTGCCAGTATTTCTTCAAAGGGGAAAATGAGGGACCCTTAATGGGGACCCCTACCCTATAATGGCCTATATACTGGGTATATAATAGCTATATTAAGGGTATATACCTAGGGGTCCTTATTAGGGGTCCCTCCTTTTACCCTTGAATTTCTGACATTATCACCGCAGTTGCTGCTACTGCCATTATCACAAGTTGTAAGTTGTACTGTTTTTGCTGTTTGTAATGGTTTTAAGAATGACTGCTGGTTGCCAGTGTTGCAATTATCACAATTAATGTCATTAGTAGTTTTGCTACTACTATCACCGTATCACCATTATCCCTATGGTTGTTATGCACCTGCAGCTGTGAACTGACTTGGTGGCTGGAGCCAAGCGCGACAGACAAGTCCCGAAAGCACGAATGCGTCTGAGACACCGTGCGGGCAAGTTGTCTCCCTTTGGATGCTTGGGTGTAAAGCTGCTGTACGTTACATATCACATTCTAGTAAAATATTCCAGGCTATAATACAACAATATATTATAGTATACAGTGGCATACTATCGTACATTACGGCATATCACAGTATATTGTTGCACAAGCGTTCTTCCAGTCACTGCCATCAGCTAACCGATCGAGCTTCGCCGCTGCAAGCAGCTACCCATGAAACTTCAGGGCTCCGAATCTTAGGGTTCAGGGTTTAGGGGTTTAGGGTTTTTTGGGGTTTCGGGGGTTAGGGGTTTGGGGTTTTGGGGGTTAGGATTTAACGTTCCCCGTGTCACCAGAAACACATGCTCCACGACGCCAGCCTTACTCGTGCGGATGGAGCTGCGAGAGGTAGAGTTGCGAGAAGCCTGCATCGATTCGCTGCTGCCATGGCTTAGCCAAGCCAAACAGGTCTCTTTGACGAGCATGTAAAATAGTCTTGATAGTGGTAATAAACATCAACAGCAAAGAAAGAAAATGCAACACAGATTACAAAGTAACAGGTGATAAGTAAAGGAGCACACGACTTTAATGAACGACTTCTGCTGACGATATTCAACTACCGACTGTTTCATTTATCTACTTCCTTGCTCGTTCACGCTTTGCCACTAGACATGTCGGAAGATGTGACACTGCAGGAAAATGTCCGAATACAATACTCCTTGCTCCGTCACCACGTGTTCCTCAGCATGCGCGACGTCAATTTGCATAACGTTAGTCTCCTGGTCAACGTCACCTAGTTACAGTAGCAGTACCGTGGACAGGCGTGTGTCGACCTCGGCGACCCAGTGATGCCATTGGGGCCCATTGATGCGGTGCTTTTGATTCGTGCACTTAGCGGCTCACCGCACGCGCCACGGTTTTATGCAACTCGAGGCTGGCATTTCTGCGAACGCACGCCTATATCCATAAAAGTATGCGTGGGTGTGTGTGTGTGTGTGTGTATACATATAAACATACATACATACATACATATTTATATGTATGTATGTGAACATGCGTATAAGTATACCCAGATATGTCATGTATACAAATAGCTACACGAAGAGAACTGCTTTGCCAAAGTGTAGCACGTGTCGTCATGAACCCTGGTGCCGCTGTCGTCTTTTCTGTCGTGTCGCTCCGCAACTGCTTAACTGTGCAGCAAAACCCGTGGGCCCTATGACAAAGACCATCGAGGAAGAACACAAGTAGTAAGACGGAACACCCCAGCAAAACGTTTACATTACTCATACGGCCTACCGACCTACATGCATGTATTCATACATGTATGCGCTCCGAATACTTGTTTAGAACAGGAATGTCTGCACATTGTAGGGTGACACAGATAAAAGAGCCGTCGTCTACTCGTAGCTGTCGACGAGTAGACGCATAATGACTGACTCCTTTCTGCGACCGTGATCCCGTGTATGTATGTGCATGCATGGTTGCAGTCGCACATACACACATGCAGCATCATGCAGCAGCTGCATTCCTGCGTAGGTGGCACATGCATGTATGTCTGTGTGTAAGCATGTGTGTCTGTCTGTCTGTCTCTGCCTCTGTCCCTGTCTGTGTCTCTGTCTCTATCACCAGGCTTGAGGGCGCACCCCCGTGGGGGACGCCTGTCTGTTGGCGGCACACACTGAAGTTAGTGTGGCAGGCTAGGTTACGCTTTTCGGCTTGTGTTGGCTGCGGGTTCGCCCAAGTGTATCAAGGAACAGGCGTATACCCAATGTCGAAGGTTCAGTCCCTGCAGCAGCCACATGCCTTAGATGTACGCCCCGAGTTCGAGTAGGTCTTGCATTGGCCTGGAGCCCCTCGCCTTGGGGTAACTCAACAGCAAGTGCTAGGGGACCCTAGAACGCTGACACACTCGACGGCACTCCAGGCTGGGCTCTCTCTCTCTCTCTCTCTCTCTCTCTCTTTATTTCTTTCCCCAGGCTTGAGGGCGAGCCCCCGCGGGAGCTGCCCGTTCGGTTGGCGGGGTGCACAGGTTTGCGTGCAACAAAGTGTCGGGCACTCCACAGGCGGGGCGAGTTTGTTGAACTGGTTTCGCTCCGCCCTTTGTGCTGCTGCGCTCCGTGGTTGTTCCACCGAGTGCTTTGCCTCGCCCCTGTTTGCCAACACGTACCAACACAAAGCTCCTTAGCAACATGAACAACTTCAGGGCGAGGTGCTCTTAGCAGCTTGTGGAGGCACTCCACTACTGGAGCTGGCTGTTATAAGCAACTACAGGACAGTGCCTCGCTCCTTCTGGACTCCCCGCTGTACTCCGGAAGTGTCTGTGGAGTCGGGGTTGCAGTGACAATCTGAGGCCCTCTCTCTCTCTCTCTCTCTCTCTATCTCTCTCGTTGTGTATGTCTCTGCACAAATGTATGTGTGTATGTACGTATGCATGTCAAAGGTACGCAGGAAGGTCTGTGCATAGACAGCATGCGCATGTAACCTATTATGTGTATCTGTGTCGGTGCATGTGTAGGCCTCTGTGGATAGGCATAACAATATGCAACGATGCGCATGTGTATTCATAAGCTACGAATACACGCACCTGTACGAATACACCGAAATTATTTATAGAGAGAGCTAGAGAGAGCGAAAGACAGACAGAGATGCTTGTGTGTGGGTGTGTTGTGTGTGTGTGTGTGTGTTTATGTGTAGGTATACTTATACTTATATTATGCAAACACATATGTATGGGCGCGGAAACATCTCCGTATGTTATGTGTTGTTGCTATATTCATATGTACCATATTACACGCACTGTATACTCCGAATAATTTTAAACATTCTAATTCAAGTACTTCTCAACAGAACAAGAAGACAATGTGAGAAGCACAGGTTCTAATTGCCCTCAATCGGCCTGTCGCGCTTCTGACGGCTTCGAGCCGCGTCTCTCGTTGGAGAGGAAGGGATACCTGGGCTCGATTCTGCTCAACAAGATCTGCTATTCACGCGCGGGGAGAGTAAAAGGAGCCATAGGGCCCCAAGTATGGTCCCAAGTGACGTCCGCGTGTTGCAACAAGTGCATGCCACTGCATGCTCCGTACTGCTTGGGTCAGCAGTTGTAGGCTCTGACTTCCTGTTGTCTTGGCCGCAAGCGCCATGGGCCATACTTTCTTGCGACACCAGTCGCAAACCCTCGAGAGATGCGACATCCCACAACTTGGGCTGCGAGCTGGGCATGTAGAAGGTAGAAGCTTTCGGCAGTGTTCAGTTCAGATCCCTGCCATGTTCATACCGGGCCCGCGGCAGTGGCACCGACGACTCGGGCGGCTGCTCTACCTGTGCCAGGTTAGGATAGCCGAACGGGGCTATCCGAGTCTGCTAGATAATCGTGCACTCCCTCGCTGCATCACTTGAGAGCTCCATAGAGTATCACCTGCCAGCTCGTACATAACGTCATGCTCCACATAACATCGCATGCCTTGTGCTCATATTCATCGTCCGCCAGCGCGAGGCAGTGTGGCGCGCGGCTCGAGCTGGAGGCCTCCCCTCTGTCCTCCGGACTTTGCTGGCCTTCGCCCCTCGGTCAAGGCTCCGCGTGGGGGGTTCCGAAAATAGGGGACCCCAAAGTCTTCGGAAACTCCCACATGGGCTAAAACAACCAAATCGCAGACAAACATTTCTGGCATACTGCATGAGGTCTGTCTCCGAAACCAGCGTCTCCGAGATGTCTTGCCATCGATTTCAACGCTGCCACACGGCTGGAGTGTAGGGGTTGCGGGATCGATCTGAAAAGGATTTGGGTACGAGCCATTGCAGATCAAAACTTTACAGTTGAAGAACCCGGACCCGAGGGAACAAATCCCGAGTAGGGTCCACGCACGTTCTCGCCGGCTGAGGATGCCTGACTGCGCAAAGACTCTTGCCACTTACATACTCGGTGTTGCTCATCGAG